ATTATACAGTATATTATAATATTTGAAATAATATGTCAGAGGTTGTTAAAATTTAAAGCAAATGTATCCAAATATAAATTTCTATTTACTTTAAAATCTATTTTTAAATTAGAAATTATATACCATATCTATAAATATCATTATTTTGTCCATTTATAGTAGAATAAAGTATACAATTTCACAATTATTTTTATTTTATTGTTTTATTCAGAATTAAACTTTAAAAATTCCTCTAAGTTGTTTTACTTTTACATTAAACATCAAAATAACTTTTCAATTGCAATAACACTAATACCTGTTTCAAAAATTTATATTTTAAGAGGCTTTAGATTTAAAGTTTTATATCAATTTAAAATTTAAAGATTAGCACAAAATTCTTTGCTATTTTTGATATCAAATATTTTCTAATATTATTTTGACCTCTAATACTTCAAGCTATCTATTTATATAAATCAACAAAAAATCAATTTATATGATTATGGTCCATGTATTTCACTTAAATCCTATTATTACAAGCTATGAATAAATATTAAATATAATAACAGTTTGACATTCTATAAAATTTTATCAAATATTATTTAATGCGATTTGACTCATAAATAGACCAAAACATTGAATAAAACAATAGATTTATTTATTTGTCGATTTTCAATACAATATATAATTTCGAAAAAGGTAAGAGATGAAACTATATTTTGTTCAATTGTTTGTATATATATCTCAAAAATCCAATTAATGAGACATATTTAGTATCAAATTCACACCATTAAAATCCGTATCGTATTACTAACACATGATTTGTTGTTAGAGTGAATGGAAAACGACTTTAATATAAAAAATCATTTTACTGTATTTGGAAGAAAATTTCATTTATAATGAGCACAAAATTTTCGTCGATTTTATATTTGAATTATTCATTTAAAGTGAAAATAGAGAAGAATTTAAAAGATTGACTTTAATATAAGATTCCTTTAGACATCAATAATAGAAATCCCAAATTCTCTCTCTCTCTCTCTCTCAACAAAACCAAATTTATAGTAAAAGGAATTTTGAAATTAAATTATTCATGCAATTTGTTGGGAATTCTTTGATATACTGTATTTCATAGCATAATACCAAAATCAGTTGTATTTTCACTTTAAATGAAATATAAAATTAAGATTAATAAGTGATTTATTGAATGTGTAATCATTTAATAAATATTTATTTAAACAAAAATACATTTAATATTTTATAATATATTTCTATATTAAATATAATGGAATTCCTTAATAATAAATATAATGAAATGATTGGTAAAATATAAAAAAATAAAAGTAGTATTAAATTAAATTCTAATTCATTGCTCCGGAAATATAAGCTATTTGTGACTGATTTATATTAATAGAAAATTAAATATATGTGCCAATAATATATAGTACTATAGCATACCCGTACGAATAAATTTATTATAAATTTAATCTAGTTATTTTTTGAATTCTGTCCAAAAATTTATTATTAATTTTAGAAATGTTACAAACGATATAAACTTATATCTTAAATACTGTATATATCATAATATAATTAGTTTACAAGATTTCCCTTTATTAGCTTACTACCGGTAAGCACATTTAAAAACAAAAAATATAATTGATTTATATATTCAATGCATGCTTAACTAAATTAAGCATATGACAAAAATTTAATATTACCCGGAATAGCCTTTCTATAATTAAATATTAATTTATTGCTGTCTATCGTATCAAATTCATGGACTATTGTATTGAATGATCAATTGTGAAATGAGTTTATATTGTGAAACAATTTGTTATATTGAAGTGCAATAAAGTGCAGACAATAGTTATTATGCAAGCGTTTGATGGATGTGTGGATATTGTGTCTCACTGTAGTTGTCTGACTGTAGTGAGTGGGGCCACACATCTGTCATTATTAATCACACTTATATTGGTTTGCATTCAATAATTTTGCGCACTTTAATCAAATATCCGCTAATAAGTACATTGGGTATAAGTTATATCGATATATAAATCTCATGTATTGAGTGACATTTAAGTAAAAATAAAATCGTATACAAAATTATTCAATAATACATTATTTGGAAATTTGATTGTTTCCACAAAGTGTACTATATGAAATATAAAGTATTATTAAGCTTAATATGAAATTGAAAAGTAGTAGAATAAAAATATATTTAATTAAAAATTTAAACAATCAACAAAAGGTCAAATATAATTCTGATTATCAATAATTATATGCTGTATATATTGCTATAATGTTTATCAAAAGTAATTAATTCTATCTATTTTTATAATTTATCTTATATTCAATCATTTACTTATATAACATTACAACACATAAAATATTACTTAAAAACTAATCGCAATTAATCATAAATTGATTGAACACATGAGAGAGAGAGAGAGAGAGAGAGAGAGAGAGACTAATGTTTATGTTTGAGTTAACTCAGAGACACATAACTTATAACAGGAATGGCATATAATTTTTGCTTTCTCTTTGATTAATAGACTCGAAAAAACAGTGACTTTTTGCTGCTTCCCTCGACTCCAATAGCCGTGTTTTACTCCTTATTTATTGGCATTTCTATATGTATTTGTTGTAATATAAGGTATATATCCACAGCACATTTCACGTACTTTATGTATAAAACTTAAGTTTTACTAAAATATATTTATTTTAAAAATAATTACTTCTTATTTAATAAGTACATATGTAAAAATCTATAATTTAATATTTAAATAATACAGATTAATCAAAAGCATAATTATTATTAAAATAAGAATCCGCAATGTTTATGTTATCGAGGGATATGTTTCCACTTCTCAAATTGTGTTGCGTATTTTTGGACCTCTTTATTTTAATAATTAATATAATGCTAACAAATATAAATATAAATATAAATATAATTGTACATAGTGTAATACTTAGAATTTTAGACGAAGATATACTAGGTGATACTGTGGGAGTAATACTTGTTGTTTCAATGGTGATTAAATTGTTAGTGATAGCAGTTGTTGTCTCACCCTTAATGACAATGGTACTTTTTGTTACCCTGGTAGATGCCAAGGTAGGTAACCATGTAGAGACCCCCGAAGTTACCCTGGTAGACCCTTTGGTAGTGGGTCTGGTATTAAGCTTGACAGTTGTCATGGTAGTGCCCCATGTAGTAGCTCTGGTAATTAGCCTGGTAGATGCCATGGTAGGGGACCAAGTAGTGGGTGGTGAATTGTACCTGGTTGTACTCATCTTAGTGGTAGTTTTTGTAGGTCTCATAGGACGAGTAGGTCTGGTATTTCTGGTTGGTTTAGAAGTTCTGGTAGTCCGGGTAAGTATTAGAGCAGTGGAAGTGGTAGGCTTAGTAGGTTTAGTAGTACCAAGTTTTGAAAAATGTACCTTGGTACTATATTTATGGTGATCAATCATTGCCTAATCAAAAATTAATTTTCAATAAATAAATAATTTTATATTTAATATAAAAATAGTTACCTTTTGTGTAGTTTGATGTTTTTCATACATATCATAATCAAAATCCATCTGAAATTTACAAAATGGAATTATAATTAAAAATACTGTATAATAATGGATGTACATTTTTTAATTATTGAATTTTTATTTATAAAATTTATAAAATACTGCATTCAGTATTACAGTACAAATAAATTATTTTATTAATGTTACATTATTAATAATTGAAATACAATATTAATTTTCCGTATGAATCTTCAATTGTACATAATAATTAACTATTAATGTACTGTTTTGTAAACATATGTCTCAACCTTCATTTTTACATTTTTGATAATAGTTATCATATCAAATTTCGCATATTATGCATTATGTTTGAGCTCAAACTCAAACATAATTTGTTGCATTAACTCTACAGTGAATTTATAAATAATTTTATGCTGTGGGAATTTGTTTATTAAATAACATTAGTTATTGTATTTAATATTAATTAGAAATAACAATTAATTGTTTAATGAATAGGTGTTCCCTTCCCACCCATACCTACCTAAACAAACTCTTTGTTTATTGCTATCAGATGTGTCCATACGTTGAGAGAGCGCTGTTAGTATTGTCCGCCAAAGGCATTGAGTAAGCATTCAATCAATTATTACATTAATTATTGAGAATTTTTGTTCACACGTTATGACAAAATAAATTATTTCTCAAGTATAACGTATGAAATATTTAATTGCTAAATCATCCAGTACAAATAATTTACAACACAATTAATCTAATAAATAAACTTAGAAACTTAAAAATAAAAAGTTGTGTTATCAGTTTAATAGTATGTAGGTGTTTAGTTATAATCAAATTATACATAAAATATTAGTAAACTTTAATTTTAAAATATTTTCTAACTTTTGATAATAATTTTTAACATTTTAATAGTTATTTCTTCAGACATGAGATAATAAACGTGAATCTGAGGGACAAACCCGAATATCTCCTGGAGGGCAACCATCTGGAAAAATTAAATGAACTCAAGATCGGATCTGAAAACAAGATCTTATACGAGTACCTGGATGAGGTCTACCCCGGCGTGCAAACCCCTAAGGGTATCTCTCAGAGGGGTAGCCATAAGGTGTTCATCGAGATGTTAGTAACTCTTACAGCGGTTTGTTGGCTATATATACTACCATATACCGGAAATAAATAATAATATATAAAATATTTAAATATTAATACTGTTGTTTAATTAAATTAAAACAAGTATGATAAAAGTATATATTTTATAAGTTATGTGTATATTTGATTAAAAAACCTCTAATAATATAAAATATATTAAATTAACTAAACATTCAAATTCTCTCAAAAAATCACAAATTTTATTTATCGCAAATTTCTAAAAATTAACATTAAAATTTAAAATAAATTTCTCTTACAGGTTATTCATTTAAAAATCGACAAATCCATAGGTTGATCCTCAAGAATCGTATTCATTGGCTTTTTAGAATCAATGATAGATAGCCCAGCTAATCCGAGTCCACAATCACCACGGTCAGTTTTTGACAACTGACTTTCAACAATAACAATATTTGGTATTCTTTCAACAATCATTTGACCAATTTTATAACCAGGCTTAACCGTGAATTTTTTGTTTCCCATATTAAATAAGATAACAAAAATATTACCTCGGTAAGAATTATCAATGACACCTATAATTAAAATAAATAATATTTAACTAAATAATGTTTCATGATTTTAGAGAATATTTACCACAAAATGCTATAATGGAATACATATGAGCCAAACTACTACGACCATATATTTTACCAAAATAACCTCTAGCCAATTGGACCCGGATGTTAGTATATATAGTTTTGGAACTATATGGGAGCAGGGTCTCTTCTGTGGTAGCGATCAAATCAATACCAGCATTACCATCGGATACAGTCAGGGTATACGAGTTGGGATCAAACCGTTGATACTTTAAAAGAATAGTTTCAGGTTCTATTTATAAAATAATAATAATAAAAATATAATAAATATATCAGCTTTGCTTTAATGTAATTGTAATATAATGTATGTAAATGTCATTATACTGAACATTCATTTTATTTCAGTTTAAAATATATAAAATAATCTAAAATCATACCAGATTTAAAGATTTGCTTAAAATTAACAGCTTTGTTAAATATAAGATAGCCAAAAACTTGTCCACGCTGAATTTCATCATTTTTCATACGAATTGGGACAGGAAATATTATCTTATGTGAACCAGGTTCCAATTTATTCTCAGGATTTAGCAGGGCTTTTCCATTTTTATCAATATTAACTGGTGGATGTCGTACAATTGTACCATCGGTATTGTACCAAGGATCATTATACACTCGGTTCATAAAACATAATATTCCGATAGGAATAGTAATTTTTATGAAGGTGTCGATAAATGTTTGACTTCTTTGTATTTCATTTCCATTGATAGGCGAGACTATGCTGTAAATGAATAAACTGTTAGTCTGTCTAAATAAATTGGGTTTCATATGTCTATGATTCCCAGAATAATATGGTATAACCGTTAGGTCATCCATATTGACATTCACATTGAATTAAGTGTGAGTTTTCTGTTGTATTTATATAAAATGTAATATACAGTAAAATATATAAAATTGATTATTTGTAAAATTTATTAGCTTAATTTACTTTATTTTATCATAATAACATTGGAATTTATACATAAATATGTACTAATAAGTAAATTCATGAATTTGCAAACATTGCATTATTTAGACTAAGGGGTCGACCACTATGTATGTAAATGCAAAATTTTAAAATATAAATAATTTTTAAACTATAATATATTAACAAGTAATTTCTACATATTAGATAGCTTATTAATGTACAAATATGCCTTTATTAAATATTAGTTAAATTTAATCTATTTAAATACAATAATAATTATTATATATTTGAACGTACTTGGTGAACTACCCCAGGGCAAATTTTTATTTTCTTTTAAACCCCGTTTAATTTATTTGTAATTTATTTTTAATGTATAAAAGCTTTAATAAACATAATTTAATCATTTCATTTCCTTTAAACAGTTTTATAATTCAATTAAAAACCTTTTGGTCAACAAAAATTACTTTAAATTAAAATGCAATATAAGCGTTTATTAAGTTTCACAAATGATTATTTAAGCAAATACTTTATGCTAGATTTTGATTGACGCATTTCAAAATTGTAAATTTGGAAGTAGTTTTAAATTAGATTAAATAGTTGATTATATATTATTAAAATATTTGCTTATTTTTTAAAATAATAACAAATCAGCACATTTTTGATTAATTCATACTTTTGTATTTATACTTATTTTGTATTTAAGCACTAATAATTTTTAATTTTCTTACAGTCAACTCATTGATGACTGATGTCTAAACGTGAGAAAAAGATATATGAAATAATTCAGGAACCAATAATTAAGATGAGCCAAAGATCTCAGTCTGGGATTGAGATGTCCTCGGACTCTAGTAATGATGATTCCGATGGCAACAATAAGACGATGAAAACTAAGCGATTGAAAAGTAACAAGACTTCTAAAAAGACTTCAAAAGGAAAGAGTAGTACTAAACCTATTGAGCAAAAAGGTATGCAATTAAATGAATAAATAATTTAATATATTAAAAATATATTGTATAATAAATAGAGGACTGTAGAGATGACATTTCTGATCCTTTTAACATCGGGGCAAAAGCAAAAGAGGTCGTGAAACATGTTTTAATCGGATCGAAGTATGTATTTATTAGAAATGTACAGTATATTTTAAACATGGCTTTCATTTGACACAAAATTTTATAATTCAATAATGAGCTTGGTTGTAATATAATAATTATTTAAAATATAATCATATGAGAAAATAGTTTATTATTTGATTATACTAGTAAATATTTATTATTTTAAATCTAGCGATGCCTTTATCATTTCAAACAACAACTTATTAGGTATGGCAAAATGGGGGTCTGGTAAGACCAAAAATGATCCTATTAGGTTTTGGATGATTCATGAAATTAATGCCGATGCTGTTCAACATTTTTGCGATGGATGGAAGAAGATCCAGGCACAAATGACTTCAAACTAAAGATTTACTTTAAATTTAACATTTGTTAAATTTAAATCAATTATCAAAATTAATTTTCTTTGAATGTAACGCAAGTTATATTCAATGTAAACAAAAATTAAAATCTAAAAGTAATAATATAATTAAATAAGAAAATAATTTATGTATTATAATGTAAAACTTTATTTTAAATAAAATAATTTTTAAGCATTTATATTTTGAATTATTTACAATTATAAATTTATACATTATACCATAAGTAGAGACAGCCGGCACTACATATGAAACCTTGATAAATTGAATTATGTATTTCTAATTTATAAATTGCAAAAACTTATTTTATTAGCATATCATTTTTCAAACATGTGGGACATCTACCAATATAAATTATAATTAAGATTTATATAATATATATTTTATTTACCATATAATGTTTTTAGTGGTATGCTTGTAAAAGTTCATTACATATAATGTTAATAAAGTTACATAAAACATTAAGTTGTATAATTAAATATTGAACATATTATTAATAAAATATAATTAGTGAATAAATTATGCATTAATTATTAAATCGTTTACTTGTATCTTTATCACAACCACTATTATTCTTAACATCCCAATGCTTTTCATATTCTAAAAATAATCATGTTAAGTTTTGAATATATTCAGATTTAAAGTAAGTTTTAAACCATTGTGAATAGATTTGGGTTCATGAAATCACATTATAATAAATATTTTACCATAAACTGTGCTTGATAAATTTTTAGCACGAGTATTATTCACTAGTATTATACACTATTTATATTATATATTAAACAACTTTTTTGTTTTTAAATCCATCATTTCTATTAAAAAATTAATTTATTTTAATTCTAGTAATATTACGCGCACACTTCCTGTTGGTCATGGTATTTTAAGTAATATATCTTTTAGTGAATAATTTTCTAAATAGACGTAATAGTTATTTCAAATTGTTCTTGCTTGAATTTTTTATTAAATTATTAATACTCATCCACGATAAATATGGAATTTTCAAAATTATTTAATGGTATGGATAAATAGTGAAAATTTTACTACTGTTCCCTATATGTGGTAGCAGCCAGTACGGTTATTTAGCGGGTATGTCATGGTTACAAATTACAGCAATAATAATAACCAAAACCAGGCTGTTTACCAAGATTTGCTTATGCAATGGATAGGATGTCAGCCATATTTACACTAAATAAACTTCAAAATTAATTACACTAAATAATTATATGAGTAAATTATATTAATGAACATGTTAAATACTAATAAAATATTAATAATTGTATTACAGTATTAACTGTGCATGTTTATTTAATTTATATTTATATTTATTTCATGATACAATACAAATAAAACGGAATATAAAACATTGTATTTAATATTATTATTTTATCAAATAGATATATTAAATTAATTTTGTAAATGATTAAACATTTTAATTGTAAAATAAATATAATTTCAGAAATCATGATCAATTTTTAAAAAATAATTTGTATTACAACATTATTATTAAGTTAGATAATTATATACACAATTTGTGCGTGGAACTTTTCTGTGTCTAGAGTAATTTTTATGGTTACATTAGACATTATGGACTGTACCATGAACAAAATAACATCATGGATAGATTTTAATAACAAAATAGCCCTATTATAGCCATGCAATAACATATAATCTATATAAATATTTCATCCTTTAATTAATTAATTAATTTGTTTATAAAGTTAATATCTTAGAGAATATTTTGAAAAAAAATTTAAATATATATTTAATTATTATCAACTTTATTTAGTATTTAAATTACTTTGATATTAGAATATTAAATATATTAAACATGCTTGTTTTAATAAAAGTTTATACGATCTAATTGATAAAAATTGTCTATATATTTACTATATAAATTAACCTATGGATCATTTTTTGTTTAATTACTTTTAATATTTAAATAAAAATTAATTATTAAATTAATGTTTTATATTTTATTATAAGGTGCATCTAATAGTCAATCATCCAATACTATGGATTTCCAATGGCGTTGTTATGAATGTAACTGTACATTTATTTCAAAAGAAAAATATTTAAAACATGAAAACAAATACCATCAGAGAAAATTTTGTAATAATTGTCAAATTTTTTGTGATGCTAATCAAGATCATTCATTGTGCTCATCAAATGATGCAACTAACAATGAAAAATTTAAATATACTGGAAAGGTTGAAACCCATATGCCAACACAAATAGGCCATCGTGATCAAACATTTGATGAATTTCTAACTGAATCGCCATTTACTAGAGCTAAGAGTGCTTTCAATCGTTTCATTTCACAATATGAACTTGTTAATAATAGTGGATATAAAGATATCATGAATTTTTTCCAGTATTATGCTACCGATATTAAGCTACTACTGGAAAATATTATTAAACACTATGGCTCTATTAAAGTACAATTTTGTTTACAAGTATCATTCATTCGAAAAGATGATCAAGGTGTTGTTCAAAGTATCGGTTATTTCGCCACTAAAAATAACTTTCTGTCAAATATTGGATTATATCCCAAATTATTCACTAAATTTGTTAGCAAGATAGAAAATGATTGCCAGGAATTTACATTAAATGGTAGCCAGTGGATTATCAGTAAAATATTACGATTAGATGTTAAATTTGCAAAGTATATCACCCAGTACGGAGCGTGTCATTCAAATGGACTACAGTTACCTAAACAATTGTTAAATAAAGGTGCTATAATTAACATTAGAAATAAAGACCATAAATGTTTCTTATATTCTGTGGTAGCAAAATTATACCCAACAGACCATAGTTGGCAACAAAATCGCCCTCAATATTACACAAAACATTTCAATGAA